CTATTAATGTTGAATGAATGTTGGTTATACAAACATACTAGTGCAGTGTATATAGAATTCAAAGTAATAGTAATAGACTATAATATGTAGATAATATGTACATTATTAATGGAGGAACTGGAAACAGGTAGAAAAATAATTTCTGACTTACCGATTTTATATTTACATAAACACACCAAAAAAATTATATATTTTAGTATAGATACAAGAAAATCAAACTCAAATACAGATTCCTTCCACCAATTTTAGTGAGATTTGACAAATATCTCATTTTGAAAAAGATTATAATTTCAATGAAGATGAACTTGCAATTTTTATTCTTTATTTTTTCCGCACAAAAATAGATTCAAAATTTATGACAATACCAAATTGGCAAGCTCAGGGCATTTCTCCAAATCAGGACTCCTTACATTATCCACTCTGTGCTATCTAGAACCCTGGATTTGGAGGATGATCATTAGCCAACTTTAGGTCAAATCTCCACAGGGGATACCTTTCATTTATTTTAATTTGTGAATCTTCTTTGTTTTGTGAGTGTTTGTATTAAATACAGAAAGGCATAGGGGGGTGATGCAAAAACAGCACATACTGTAATCAAATCAAAACTTGATTTAACATAATTGAAACCACATAATCCATAGACGTGTGAAGTCATGTGAAAGCTGGATGAATATCAGTCAAAATACTGTGAATTTATCGCACATTTATAAACCTTCCATTAAACGTCATCAAAGCATTTTTAATAATTATTTATTAATTATATTCTAACATGTTGGTACATATGATAAATAAAGGTTACATAAAACCATATTAAAGCTGCTTTTTTATTTTCAAAATTTTGTGGTTATTAAAAGTATACTTAAAAGTTGCATGTTTTGTGATATGATTTTATTTCAAGGGAGATAACTTTGATCGACATGGAATTATATTGTGGTAAACGCCAAATGTTACATGAAACACTGGTAAATAATTGCATGAGAAAAAATATTTAAATTATCGAACAAAAAATTAGGGATAAAGAAATATTTAAAGTGATTAGTAAAATGTCTTGTATTCTTGTATGTATGGTAGTACTTCAGTAGATATACAATATAAAGCTATGAAAATTGATAATTGCGTAAAACTTCACTTGAAAAAATAATCACAGAATAATCAAAAACAGAAACTATTGTGCCTGAGAGTCTTCTTTTTTTATTCAATGATGCGTATGTTGAGGGTCATCTGATGTAATATGGAGTCTTCATTGCATGGTGTGAAAATACAACATAACGTATACATGTATATTAACATCAAATGAGCCAATACGATTGCTACCAATTTGACTGTCATTAAAGATTCTTTAACTTGAAGGTACACGAAGGGCAAGACAAGAAAATATAAATACAAACAATGCAGACCCCTATAAACCATGAATAACAAATGAATTGAAAACAGTAACAATGTATGACACACACAAAGTCTACAGAATTCACACTGATCCATAATTAAATCACATTTAAGCGTGAAACCCAAATGAGCATAAAAAATGTTTTTCTACCCCTATATGTCACTCTTTGCCACTGGTTTAACAATAATGATCTCTTTGAAATGCAATCATTTTCATGACATAATAAATCATCGATGTTTATCTTGCAAATTTTTGGCATTTAAAAATGCTACTCGGCAACTAAGTACCGTTTAATTGTATCATTCACAAAATATATGATGTGTGTAATACGAGGGATGTTCTTATTCTAATGGTATTCATCCTAGGTGTTACATTATTGTGTATTAGTAAATTATCGAATGAATGTTCACATAAAGTGCCAAGATTTGGATGTAATCAATACCGAAAAGTGACCACCAAATTGAGTAAAATCCTTAAGTTTCAAAAATGAGCCAAGATGATAAATATGAAAAATGGTTTCTAGCTGTTACAAAAGAAAATCATCATTAAAAATGTGGTCACACCAAATGTCAGAAGGCGCACAACTTTTAACATGATACTTGCCTAAGAATAAATCATCACCATGGTGACGGCTTTGGTATGACATCAAATGGAATAGGGAGGATTGACAAGGAATATGAGAAACAAAATAGGCAAGTGTCTGGTAGGTGAAAATATAAAAAGCTGGAACTTGTCGAGTTATAGTCTATAAACTGCCAAATAAGGAATCGTAAAATAATGTTTTTTTTGTGTAGGAAACCTGAAAACTCTGTCAGATAATATAAGTTGTTTCATAATCACTTCATGTATTAAATATTTCTGAAATTTTTATACAAATGTATAGACTATATTTGCATGACTTGATAGCTGATACTGAATCCAGCAGTCGTCCTAAAATTGTAAAAGAAATATATTCTAAAAAAGAACAATAACTTAATTTTAGGGCTGGTTCACCGAGCCAAAGACTCAAATTAGTGGCTTTTAATGATAGGTCATTAATAAGGATTTTGAAAAGTAGTGAAATAAGGATTTTGTGTGTTTTGAAAAGATAAAAGAGATTTGATCCCTCCCCATGAATTTATTTGATAATGAAATGAATATTTTAGCAAATGAATGAAGTTTTGTTCAAAGAAAGATGCTGCATTGAAGAATAACAATATATGCATTATAGAAAGTATACAGGTTATTGACTGGGTGTGATTCAGGGCCGTCAGATGGGGGGGTGCGATGGGTGCGACCGCACCCCCCTTTGTCACCCCCCAAAATAAATTTTTAAAAAACTGTTGAAAAAACTTTTTTTTTGAAAAATATTTTTTTTTGTAATTTTTTTTCATTGACTCATACACTTTGAGAGTGCCCAGAAAGCACCAAATAGCATCTTAAAATTGTAAAATTTTCTAGGGGTATTGGCCACCCCTCACACCCCCCACAATTCAATGGAAAAGTTCTAAATTTATTTTAGTGTTTTGTCTCAGGCACTTTTAAAGTGCCCAGACATCATCAAATAGCTCCTTGATATAGTTAGTGTTTTGGGGGACTTGCTTCCCCTCTTGCATCTTGCACTTGCATAACCCCCCCCCCCCTTTGGCGCACCCCCCTCTTGACCCCCCCCCCCCCCCCCAAAAAAAAAATTCTTTAATTGACTCATACACTTTGAAAGTGCCCAGAAAGCACCAAATAGCGTCGTAAAATTGTAAAATTTTCTAGGGGGAGTGGGCCACCCCTCACACCCCAAACAAAACAATGGAAAAGTTCTGAATTTGTTTTATGTATTGTCTCAGACACTTATAAATTGCCCAGACATCATCAAATAGCACCTTGATAAAGTTAATGATTCTGGAAGACTAACACTTACTCGCCCTCTGGCATCCCCACTCCACCTATCCCTCTGGCAGCCCCCCCCCCCCCCCCTAACACCCCCCACAAAAAAAAGAGAGATTTTTCAAAAAATTTTATTGACTCATACCCTTTGAAAGTGCCCAGAAAGCACCAAATAGCATTTTAAAATTGTAAAATTTTCTTGGGAAACAGGCACTTTTAGGCACAGACACTTTTAAAGTGCCCAAACTTCATCGAATAGCACCTTGATATTGTAAATTTTGATATGGGGGACAAACACTTGCTCCCCCTCTGGCACCCCAGCCCCACTTCCTCCTCTAGCACCCCCCCCCCCTTTGACACCCCAAAATTTGAAAAAAATTGTGATTGTTTTTCAATGTTTTTATTGACTAATACACTTTAAAAGTGCCCAGAAGCACCAAATATCATCTTTAAATTGTAAAATTTTCTAGGAGAGTTAGCCACCCCTCACATCCCCCACAAAACAAAAGAAAATATTCTGAATTTCATTCTCAGACATTTTTTAAGTGCCCAGACATGTTTCTGGGGGACAACCCCTTGCTCCCCTACTGGCACCCCACCCCACTTCACCCTCTCATCCTCTTTGACACCCCCAAAAGAATTTGAAAAAAAATTCACATTTTAATTCTTATTGATTCATAACGCACAGGCGTACCAGATGGTTGCTAATTCGCTCCAAATACTACCAAATTTCAAAATTTTCCTGGGGGAGAACCCCCACACCCCCCCCCCCCCCTGAATGCTTGGTTTTTTATTCACTCAACTCTTATTCCCGTGGTTGTGGCGTACTACTTCGAAACTTACACTTTGAAAGTGCCCAGAAAGCACCAAATAGCATCTCAAAACTGTAAACTTTTCTAGGGGGAGTGGACCACTCCTCACACCCCCCCCCCACAAAACAATTGGAACGTTTGGAAGTTGCATTTGTTAATTCCAAACCAATATAGGGAGTAACTGACCCCCCCCCCCCCCTCTGTCTTACGCGATTTGATTTACGCGGCAAAAAAATGACAATTTTATATTCTCTTTCGTAAGCTAAAAACCGCACCCCCTTGGAGAAAAGTGTCTTACGGGCCTGTGATTGAATATGGGTTTTATGCAAAGATTTGTTTTGAACCAGCGGTTCACGTTCAAAATTTCCAGGAAACCAATACCAACAATTCATACCATCCAAACTGATTTTCATCAGTCAAAAACAATATTTCCAGATATATAATACAATGTAATGTTTCCAGAGACCCGAGGGAATAAAAATCATATTTAATCCTAAACACTAATACAATTTTGAATCCAGCAGATTCATGCCTAACTGGAGAATAAAATATTACAAAAATACACCTTGGTAAGACCTCCATAGCTGCAGATTCACAGGATGGAGAATTTCTTTTGATAGACTCAATTTCATTTCTATAGAAAATTAGAAATTGAAGTCTTTTTATAGATGGCACCTGTTTACAGCACCTACTTGTAGCAAATTATGCCAGCAAAATTCCTCCAGCGTTTAACAAAGAACAAAATCTATGAACTATTTTTGTATTATGCCCAGACACCTGAATGGATTAACAAAGTGCAAATGAAGATTATTTCAATCAGAAACAAAGTAAAAATAGAAATATATTCAGTGTTCAGTTTTGAGCTAACTTTCAATAATTTTGAGTGAATAGATTTTTTAGAGATATTTTTTTATATGTATTTATATTAATCAGATACTAACCTTCATGATCGAATTCTGTTGTTGTTTTTCAATCTCTCGATCTTGAGGATCTGCACTAGTTGATCTCACCATTCCCATAGAGGACTCTGACTGTGTGACCTTTGACCTCTGGGCCTTCACAAAGGTCGGCATTGAGTTCTGTTGTTTTCTTCGCTTGTATTCGGACATGAGCGTTTTTATAGTACGTCCTGAAGCGACAGTGTAGACGCGACTTTCTTGTTCCTGTTTTTCTTCCCGTTTACTGATATATCTCTGGGGACTCTCGGGGTCACCCTGGGGGTCAAGGCTACCAGGGTCATCGGCATCTTAAATACAGAGAAAATCAGAAAATTGCACTTACATTTTCTTTGTTTGGAGGGAGCAGAAATGTAATAAGAATTTACACTGATAAAGCATCGTGTGTTAAGAAATAACATAACAAAGACTCTGTCAGCATAATTACAACAGTATGTATAATTCTTGAAACCAATTGTGTTTACTATCAATAGCTTTCTTTCAATGGATCTTCATATAAGAAATAATTGTGATTAACAACACTAGTTTGTATACTCAATGACTTTGAAGTTCATACTCCATTTGTGAATTATCTTTGATGATGCACCAATGTTTTTCAAAGCACACACACGTGATGTGTTGTAAGGTAATTTTTAAAAAATCAATTTTGGTAGCTTTACATTTTTTGGGTAATTCAACCTAGTTTTTTTGCATACATATACTGTACCTTTAATAATTCATTGACTATAGCTTAATAACTTCCAAAAATATATGTCAACATTTCTTAGTTTATAAATGATGCTATATTTTTAATATATGGCATGACATCTATATGATAAAAAAAGGTATCATATATTGTTGTTACTAGCAGCGACATCTTTAATAAAGTACATGAAACATTTGTCTCATCTTCAAGAAATGTTTCTCTATGTAAATTAACCCATTGAAAATATCTTTTATATTGACTTTTCTTTGAAAAAAATTACAATAAAACGATACTGATTTCAACAATAATATTATACCAACACCAATGTTAGAACGATTAATAATACATAAAGAGTGGTTTTAGATTGTCTGTATGAGTGTAGTTAAACTAACATGTCTAATTTGGTGGTGTTAAATCATGATCAGAAGTAGGTGGTGTTAGCCCCAAGTGGGCAGACCTACTGTAGGTCAAAGGAGGTGGAGATTGAGTCTAGAAGCATATTATGTGGCAACAATGTGTATTTGAGTACATCCTTCAAGATTGGGATCCACTTCTATATGTAGCTAGCTATGGAAAATATTGAAATACCTTTGAACCAAGGATGATTTGAGTAGGCAGAGTTACACAAGTACATGTACATGTAGGCCTTGCTCTCTAAGGTTATCAAGTTCATACAATTAAGGCTGACATAAACATCTAGTGTATTGTATCAAACTGCAAATCACCCAAAACGATTATCCCTAAAGCCACGTAAGAATTATCACATTTCATAGGCCTTCTTGGTTGATTTATTCTGGGGGAATTCTCCACTTTAAAAGTTTTTCATAAATAAGGGTTATAAAAGTTTTGCTGTACTAATAAATGTTAATAAAGGCATAATATGACAAAATAGATTACTTAAGTACAGAAAATGATTAAACATTTGAGTAGAAAACAGAACTACGAAGTAAAGATTAAAATGAAATAAAATTAAACAATACCGTTTGAAATCAAATAATCATAAACGAATTCAAGAGGTTCGTTTTCCAAAATGTAACTCCAATGACCTGCAAAACATCATTGTATTGGATAATGGACTAAAACACGACATAGAATTAGTCAATATGAATATAATATGACACATTACATATAAGCCCATGGGGTCACTTATCTAATCATTTTAATACAATAAGTACAAAGTTGCTATTTTTGAAATGGTGACTTATAGGTTAAAAAAACTGATATTTCCGTATTGAATGAAGTTTTATTGCAAATTGAGGAAATGATGTCATGATTATATCCACAATTCTAATTACGCATTTAGCAATGCACTTTGGTACATGTATGTTGCGGAGGTGAATTGTTCTGAAACAATGGGACTGAAATTTTAACATTTCTTAAAAAACACAATGCAATGACAGACTCACAGGTGTGTTATCAATCTACAATAATTATATGTGTACTCATCATTATTTGGTGGATAGAATAAAAAGTAAATAAAAGTCAAAAGAAAGATGTACAAAAACATGGAATTATGATAATACTTTTCTTATAACATTGAAGTGCGCATTTGTACATGTACCTTGTACTTGTACTGCCTCCATTCCAACTACAGTAGCACCATCCTGTTGTTTCTTCAGCTTCTCTGCAACCATGGACCCTAGTGACTTATCACGCTTTAACTCGGTGATCTCCTCAGGTTGGGCAATTAGAAAGAACAGCGGCTGTTCCAACATTTGATCAGCACTCCTCGTTCCCTCCTTATCAAGAAGCAAATCGATGTACTTCAAACATAAATCATCGCAACCTTGTTTAAAAAGTTTTAAAAAAGCTCTGTGATTTTCATGGACTGTTTCCAGACTATGCTCAGCTTCATTGAGGTCTTTATCAACTGGTATGCTGAATTTCCTGGATCTGGCATCACCCTGACCATTTTCATCCTCTTCAGAACTAGACCCATCACCTTCTCCTAGTTTAGGAACATCATCGTTCAAAGTACCAGCTTTATCAACCTTGTCAGGGTCATTCTCAATGATGTTGGGTTTGAGTAATTCACGTACACTCTCAACAGTTATACTATCAATGCTGCTACACACTTCCAATAGCGTATGAATATAGAATGTCATACTAATGCCTGCCTGCTTGTACAGGTTTGTTGCGACTGATGTTCTTGCAACTTTTTGAATAAGAAACTTTAAACCAGGTCGAGAGTCGAAGTCGCAAGAAAATTTGTAGGAAGCTTTCAATGAGTTGAGGAAATGCAGGGTTGTCCGGCATGAGAGGTAGGAGAGTAAGCCTGTAATAATAGGAGAAGTAATGCAAAACTGTGAAATAAATGTGAAAATCTGAGGTAAATGTGAAAATGTGAAGTTAATAAAATGCAAATGTGAAATTGGAAAGATAAGTGAAAAATGCCTTTTCATTTATCTATAGTTTCATTTATTTATTTAAATACATGTATAATATAGGCCCTTAAAAGTTGCCAATCACTATTTTTATTATGCACATTTCTATCTACATGTATTATTTCACTCACATTTGTTGATAAATTATTGAAAACATTATCTTACCTGGTAATTTATTTTGCTGACCAATCATATCGTCGACTTCGAACGCTTTCTCGCCATGAGTTGGAGAGGATGGGAGTGAGGCTGGTAATAGATGGCGCTCTGATGGGGTCATATTGGGAGATCCCTGAAGCAAGATACTCCCAATTGTCTGTAGCAACAGCTGGTGAGACAACAGACCAATCACAAGGCTCTTGAAGGGTACCCTGGAATATAATTTTCATTATTTTGTTACATCATTACATTACAATTTCATATTGTGTCACAATCATTGCATACAGTCTGGTTTTCAAGGGTTAGGGCTATGGAAACAATACAACAAATATCAAATGAAGCCATTTTGATATCTGTTTTCATTACATAGTGATAGTGCTTTGTATGCGATTTGCTTAAATTGGATATTACATATGCTTTTTGGCTCACACAGTGAGCCTATGGGATCGACCAGGTGTCCGTCCGTTGGTCCATCCGTCCGCCTATGCGCAGTCTCAAGTCTGTGGACCCTGAAGAAAGATAAGTAACATCGCAATCAAATCAAGACAATGAAAGAAGAAAATGAATGAAGAAACCAATGCAGCAACAGCAAATGACGTCCGTCCGTTGGTCCGTCCGTCCGTCCGTCAACATTGGCCGCACAAATTAAAACTGCTATTTGGATTGAGTCATATCCACAGTCATTTTATGCATATCCATAATGCCTATTTGACCTATCATCGCCATTTCCCAAGTTCGCCCGGTTTCCAAGAAATTGCTGATTTTGACGTCAAAAAGTCAAATTTTCTGTAAATACTAGACACTTTGTTGAAGTAGAACTTTCAAATAACTTGTAGTAGTTGCTGTATATGCAACTTATGTCCTCTGAAGATTTCAAAGCTCTTTGAATTACGGTTTTTTGACAAAAAGTAGGACTTTGTCATTTTCAGGAAACTTTCTTATGTATAAAGTCAATGGCAGGTTTTGTGATTGACAAGTTTCTCAAAGTTTGCCTTATACCTTATACTTGATCATTTCTTGCAATGAATTACATCATAACTAGATTTAAGCATTCCCTACATATTGCTCAATATATGTCAGCATCAAATTTTTACCGTTACCGATATTTGACGTCAAAAAACAGTAAAAATAAGTTATTTTTCAACTTGCTTCAATTTGACTAATTTTTTTTTGAAAATCATCTACAAGTTACCAGGAGTTAAAATCTGACATCAGTTTTAGGATTTGACCTTTAGTTGACCTTCAGTGACCTTTGAAAGGTCAAAAAAGTTGATTTTTCAAATTGATTTTTGGATGTAAATTTTGGTCAGCTTAATCACATAAGACCTTACTGAGCTCTAAATAAGTAAAATTTTCAAGGTCAAAGGTCATCAAACTAGGTCAAACAACTGTGCTGTCTAAGTTTGTCAAAGTTCGAGACTACAAATCCAAATCAATATTTTTGTTTGAAAGTCAGGATATACATTCCTCTGAAGGTTCAAAACTGTGTGAGCACAGGACCGTGGGTCCTATTTTTAAAGATGAACACCCCTTATCTGCTGGAGTGGTCTACATAAAGCAGATGCTTTTTGTGAAAAAATGGAGTTGAATTCAATACTACAGGGAATAAAACTCCAGTAAAAATAAATATCTGTAAAGAATTGATTTATTCACAAGGTTGTTGAATAATTACATTATCATGGTAGTTTGCCCCAGTTCAGACCTGAAATATACTGGCCAGTAATTGTCTTGGTCATTTGATACTGATTCCAATAGGGAATACAATAAATTTAGCTTGTTGGAAAAAGTAATGCTGACTTATTTGCGAGCGTGGCCTAAAATACAAATTGGAGGCTTCCTTCATCACAGGGTATGAACCAAATTAAGCGTGACAGTTGAATGCGTGGAGTGCAGTATAACATGAGGGTGAGAAAATGTGAGCAAACACAAGTTAACATCATTTCAGAAAGATGTGGTCTAGTTTCTACAGTAGATACTTTTATTTTACACAAACTCTGACTGTAGCAGGGTTCGTACACCTTTTTCAAAATGAATTTCCCTGACAATTCCCTGACATTTCCAGGCAAAAAAGGAAATTTCCAGATCTAATTTTCCTTGCGCGCCCTCTAAAAAGTCTCAAACAACTGTATTATTCAAGACAAAAAGACTTATTATGAAACATTTGGGGTTTCTCCTTCAGTACCATTTCTCATGACTTAACTACTTGTACAGGCAGTCTTATTCACCAATTTATTCCTGATACATTTTATTTTTAATATTACATATTTTACATTGCATAAGGCCAAAGGTAAACATACATGTACAGGGGCATAGCCAACAAGTATCAAGGAGGTGCATCTTTTGGGGTTTGCATCACTGCGAGCGAAGGAAAACCAGAAGGGGGTACGGGGGTTCACCCCCGGAAATTCTTCAAAATTGACAATTGTATATGGTGCATTCTAAGCATTTCAAACTATAATTTGTTAATGTTTTGTTATGAATCCAAATGACAACTGAAACTTTAAAATTTTGATCTAAATCCTACTAGAAAAATAGCAACGCACTTGAGGGGCAATTCCCACCTAATGAAACATATTTCTATTGAATACTATCATTGTGAACATTATATGATAGCAATAACCTGGCATTACTATTGTCTTCTCCCTTTTGGGAAAATTACACCAAAACAATTGACACCATATTAGAAATTCCTTCTCAAGTAGCATCACCAGATCACGAAAAGGCTCAGGCCTATGATACCAAATCAAATAATCAGTATTTTGTGTTATCAGGAATCAAATTTCTTTAAATTATCAAAAATTTCATAAAAAAGGTGGCAATTTTGAATTCAGAGACCATCTTGAATATTTCTTCTTGAGCAGGTCCTTTGTCCCTAAGGCTACATCATACAAAATTTGAGCCAAAGTAAAATGCTGGGATCATCTTTACAAGAAGAAAAATTTGGACCAAATTCAAAAACTGTTAATAGTACCCCACACACATTTTGGTTGCCTACTTCCATGTGCTAAGGTTTTAAAAATTGGCAAAGCCCCTGAAAGTTGAAAAGACTGACGTACGATCAGACTGTCGAACAGACAGCTTCTTAATATAAATACAATTTTACATTGTAAAGAGCTCCCAGAATTTTTTTGTTTTTCACCTCCCACCCCCCTCCCCCCCTCAGATCAACCCCTCATCAAACCATGAAATATATACAAGTAATTAACTTTGAATGGCCTAAGACTATAAGCTTACTACATAAAAAAGCATAATTGTATTAAATCATCTATACATTATTTTTATTGTTCGGTTTCAGTGTAATGTTCACACTGTTCTTACAAATAGACAATACCAGATCTAATGTCATTCAACCAACCCTAATGAAAAGATTTGCAATTTGTGGAAACAACTAGATGATTTTGGATTTCACTTATATCCTGTCATAGCCCTAAAATGTATTTTGCTGGAACATTATTCTTTCAACATTGATACAAAATTCCCTGACATTTCCCTGACACATCTACTGTTTCAAAATTCCCTGACATTTTTGGCCCTTTTTGACCCAATTTTAAAATTCCCTGACATTTCCAGCACCTGGAAAAATAAATCAATTTCCCTGACATTTCCAGGTGTGTACGAACCCTGTGTAGTATTCGTTGGATAACACGCGGTAACAGTAAGGTACAAAACAAGGAATTTGAATTTGTGTCATACCGTATCTTTCTTATGCGTTACACCGCATACTACATTTGGAGTTTGTGTAGGTTTAACTATGAAATTACTGTCTAGGATATTGTTACAGACATTTACATATAAAAATATCTAGAAATTAGACCAGATCTTTCTGAAACGATGAAAACATCAGTCTGCTCTAATTTCATCACCATCATGTTGTACCATACCCCACGCGTTAACTGTCAAGCTTAATTTGGTATGTACCCTGTGTTCATACAAGCTGGCAAGAATTAACTTGAATCATCAAAGAAGAGATTATCCTTTAACCTTTTAAATGCCAGTCTCTAAAATTGGTTTGATACCAGAGGATATTTCATTTTTGCAAGCTTTTGACATTTAATAACATATATGGTGATGCTCAATTTAGTGAATCATTTCTACACATTCCAATTTTTTTTTGTGTTAACTGGATGAAAATTGTTTCACTAAAATTAGAGCGATTTTAGTGAAAAAAATTTTTGTGACAATTTATCTCGTCACTCTAGCTTTCAAGGTCATTTCTTAGGTGATGAGAAATCGTGTCGCCAAGGGTAGTCAAGAGGTTAACACAGATATACAAATTTTGACAAAATATTATTTTTCTGCTTGTCACCATCAGAATAATTGAGGTCAAACTATTTTTATAAGGTATTTACCTGCATTCTACTCACTCAACTTGAAGGAAGATTGAGTTAATCATGCTAAACAGCATCATAGTAAAACCTCATGCATTTTGATGAGACTTAATGGACTGACAAAGTTCATAATGCTAATTGTATTGATGCTGCTAATAGAGGATTATTTAATACACTTAGAAAGTAATTAACATCAATACATATTCAGCTGATATTTTACCAAATGATTCTAGTCAGTAATGCGCCATTCAAAGGTTTGAACTGTGGGACCAACACACACGGAGAGTCAGGAATTTGACATGCAGTAATGTCATGGGGGGAGGGGGGTGGGATTATGACAAAGCACTTAGTCCAGGGGGTAAGGACTTTGAATTACATTTTCCAAATAATGTGAATTTATTCTGAAGTGTTATTGTACCGAGGGTGGGGAATTTGACTCTATTTATGAAGTGTCATTGTACCGAGGGTGGGGAATTTGACTCTTATTTCTGAAGTGTCATTGTGCTGAGGGCGGGGAATTTGACTCTATTTCTGAAGTGTCATTGTACCGAGGGCGGGGAATTTGACTCTATTTCTGAAGTGTCATTGTACTGAGGGCGGGGAATTTGACTCTTATTTCTGAAGTGTCATTGTACCGAAGGTGGGGAATTTGTCTCTATTTCTGAAGTGTCATTGTACCGAGGGTGGGGAATTTGACTCTATTTCTGAAGTGTCATTGTACCGAGGGCGGGGAATTTGACTCTATTTCTGAAGTGTCATTCTACTGAGTGCGGGGAATTTGACTCTATTTCTGAAGTGTCATTGTACTGAGGGCGGGGAATTTGATTTGACTCTATAGAGAGTGACAATCTGAGGAAACACAGTAAACAGAATTACAAAGTGGTAAAACTGTTTCATTTAATGAGTTGAAGAGTGAAAAGTTCCCAAAAAGGCCGGGAAAAATGCATAGAATGTGATAAAAACATCAGCAAAATCACAGAAAGAGAGGGAACAGTAAACTTCACCAAGATGGGATTTCTAGAGCATTTAAAGAATCCTCTGTAGAGTATATTAGCATGATTGAATAGATAATTAGTGCATACCATTTCCATCAGTCCCTATAGAAAATAAGGCAGAGATGGTCTGAGCACTCAGCTGTCAGCGAGAATGGAAGTCCATTTGTGCATGTACATATATATGTATATAGAGATTATCCTATATGAGGTTCAGGATATTGGGATTATCCCGAGGCCAATATAGTATATCTGCCTGAGGGCTGCAGGTCCCGAGGGAAAATATATTATATTGGCCAAGGGATAATCCCAATATCCTGAACCGACTATAGGATAATATGTTTATCCCATACCAATCTTGGTCATCTGGTTCACATTGTTCAATCGTGGAAATATTTTAGAATATTCATGTCCAGTTTTGTTTTCTTGGCCGTGGGCGGATTTTCCTGTTCTGTCAAATATTCCCATATTTATTTTCTCAAATTTTTGATTGATTAAGTGGATGCTCCTTCCCTTTTTTAAACCATCAAACAGATCCTGATTGTCTGTGTTTTCTCCATTGTCGTTTACAGTCATTATGCGAATATTACAAATTATGAACAAATATGCGAGCTGTGATTATGACGTATATCAGTTGTCCCAAAAAAAATGAGACACTTTTTGCCAAGTATTTTCTAGGCAACTGTTACACCAAATTCACTGAAAATATGTACAAAGCATCCTAAGAATATCATTAGCAAGTTGTAAAAATATAAAAAAGATCAAGTAAATATTACGTGAGTGCTAAGAAATTCAAAATAGCATGCCAAAAATCCCCATACCAGAGCTCTGTGATGAGACCTCTATAGTGTTTGTACCAGCTATCAGGTGATAGCATTTGTTAATCAGTCAAAATAGTTTGTCTGTGTTTCTACTTAATTCATTTCATTCTTCCAAAATATCCTAAATCAATTGATTCCAAAAATTCATTGGAGGTGATATTGCTAGAATAAATTCGGAAAGGTATTTTGCTAGGAAATGGATTAATAAGGGACTTTTACATTGATATTGGTTATTTTGACATTCTGTTTTCGATTCAAAATACACACATTAAATGAGGCCAATCTTTTACATATTTATAGCACTAGCAGAAGATACCCTAAAGTGCCTCAAGTAAAGTTTTCAAATAATTTGACTTATCTATTGCTGAGAAATTACTTGTCGAATTGCTTCCCATTTTTTGCACAAATGCTATGAAATTCTCATTGCATTGCTCCGGTATAGGATATTTTGACATGCTATCTTGAATTTCTTAGCAATCACATAAAATTTACCTGATCTTTTTCATATTTCTGTACTTTGCTAACGATACTCCTGGGCTACTTTGTACAAATTTTCAAAAAATGTGGTTCATTGGCTGCCGAGAAAATACTTGTCAAAAAGTGTCTCATTTTTTGGGACACCCGATATACTATCTCTGCCCACTTGGAGAGGGACGTAAAGCTACAGTATATCTGCCTGCTGATGAATATATAAGTTTTTACATAACAAGTCCAAGTATGGGATTAAGTACTATATATTACTATAATACTATGTATGTGCCCTATAAGGGAGTTACTATATACAATAGAGAGATTTCGCACCAAGTGAAAGTACAACTTATAACGTATACTTATACTTATAGGTAAACGTACAAGGTGTTTCATAATGTGAGCTTTTCGACAGGAAAGATCTTCTCGGACTGTAATAAAAACAGGTCAAAGGGATGCCATTTGTACTTTCTTGAATTGTAGCATGTTTAGTTGATCCAAATGTGTTTGTTTATAGAATAAAATAGGCTAATATATAGTACATATGTTATAGACCAATCTCTTCTCAAAGTGACTTTTTGGAGATGCTCGTTATGAAACACCCTGTATGTCATATGTTGAGCTACTGAATGGGTCGTTTCCAGGAATTGCTAGAACCTACTGGTTTGATTGGTGTTTCAAATTGATGGTTAAAGTATTTGATTGGATACTGTTCCCACTCAGCCAATTAATTTCAAAAAATACTTGCGGTCAATTGTTCCACACACATGTAGGCAAATCTTTATACGGAGATCCAACTGTATACGTTATCATCTACGTAAATATGCCATTTTGTAAGTTCATTGAACTTATACTGATCATGAAAACATTGAAATAATCAACTTGTTTATGTAATGACTCACTTTAAAGAATCATGACTCCCTTTAAAGGATCGTGTTTATAATACACTACAACTACAAGGACACGGAAGCAAGCATTTAATTATAATGTGCATAATCTACACGTGCAGATGACAGTGCATTCATAGTCTCTAGTTGATGGAGCTTTTCTATAACGGGAATCGTTATGTTCCATTAACTACAATTTAAAATTGATTTTAGTAAATATAATAGTTCGACATGACCCTTTAAACTATACGTATACGTATAAGTTGTACTTTCACTTATGTGCGAAATCTCTCTAATAGCTGAATAAAACTGAATAAATAGATGTAAACACTTTTTTGTTTTGCTTGGGGAAGGCTGCAATAGGCTTTAATGTTAATAACTTACAATAGACACTTCATTTCATGATTTATTGAAAAGTGTTATTTGAAAGTTTAGAACTTGAATGGCATACTATAAGATGACCCTGTTCATGTACATATTGTGTTTTATCATGAAAATATTGGTTGTTGAACAAATAAATCGAGATTTAAAGAATTTATGGAGATTTGGCTCACACTTTTTAAGAAAAGTTGAAAAGTCATAGAAGTGTTGTTAGATTATTAAAATCATTGCTTGTACATGCAAAAGTTCCCTAGTATTTGCCTTATTGCTTATTCTTCACAAGGGAAAGGGTATTACATTTTGAGAAAGGGCATATTTCAAAATGAGTAATAACAGTAAAAATGTATCAACAATTCCAAAAAATATTAGTTGATTATTGACTCTGGTCCTTTTACGAATAGTGAATTTAAATTGAATTTTTGCAGACAATGTTTTCATAACTAATTAATATAATTGACTACTCACTACTCAAAAAAATCTACTCTAAAAAATCTATTAGCTATTATTAGACACAAAAATCAATGTTTTTCAAAACTAATAGATTTTTTAGAGTAGTGAGTAGTCAATTATATTGATTATTTATTGTCTCAGTTTGTCCTAAGGCTGCTCATATTCTTTTGGATCTATAATGTGACATAAAAGAAATGTGTAAACATTTTTAAAAGCATGAAATGGACAATGATTCAATATAATTTACCTTGTCATCCTTTGCTCTGGGTCTGGTAGCCCAACCTGATATGGCGGGTAGAGCAGGAATACATAAGATATATCTTCTTCTAGTTCATAATCATGAGGGTTCCCTTGTCTCTGACTATCTAGTAGAAATACCTGCAAGTAAAGTGTGAAGTCTAGTTTAGAAAGATAAAAATTGAATTGACATATTTTCATGTACCTATTACAAAAAGAAACCATCAAGAGAGAAAACAGTTCTTATCAAGACATTAACATGTAAAATGTCACCGATTCCCATTTGTTACAGACACCATTTGTTAAGGACATCAAACGCGAAAGACAATCCGCCATTAACAAAAGGTTGGAGAGTATAACAATATCACCACTTGTATACTTTACAGGTTTAGAGTATATTTGATATTGATGTCAATGGGAAATACTAAAAGACCACCGAAGAAATATAATAAAGAGGCAAAACTAGGAAATCTGGGCTATCAGAGTATTTGGCATTGCATATCAATGACTCATTCATGCTGGTGTCAGTGCAGAGAATGAATATTCACTCCGAGTGTAACATTTATGATTCCCACAACGGGATATATATTACTTTAAATAAATATGGAGGTTAATTCATCTTGCTTCATGGATTTCTCTCATTAAAACTATAATCAGAGGAGAAAAAGGCAACCATAGCAAGTAACATTTCGTAGCAATACTGTTCATTCACACTTTTTGTAAATATTCTCAAATTATCTAGATTATCATATTAACATGTTATCAACAAGTAAAGTTACTGTAACTTAAAGCAAGAATTAGAGATAGAGTTACAGAATTGAAAAATTTCCAACCAAGTCCTTTACTATGATGCAATTGCTTAAGTATGTGTATAACAATATCTTAGAAATCTTCCATTGCATTTATATGTTTACTATAAGTTCTGCAATATAATGTTGTCAATGGTTTTTTAGAGCAGTTGGTCACTGATTGCAGAATGTTTCTCCACCATTGTCTTACAAATTATATATGTACTCGAGGTTATGTCATCTACATTTATACTAAACCAATACTTAACATCAACCACTGGTCACATGAAAAATATCAAAATTATTAGTTAAATGCTGTGATACTCTATCATTGGTCAATTAAATACGAGTGTTACAGAGGGAACTTTCTACTATACCCGCCATCTGACCTGAATGAGCCACCTGGTGGTGAAACTGGTAACTACCTACTCGCATCTGCGTTATTGTATAAACATATCATACAATATATATAATTATCATACAAGTATTAAATGGTTTTGTACATATTGTATATAAGTACAAAATAAGCATTGTAAATAAATGAAAGTATCATTATAAGTATAAGAAGTTTCATACAACTGTCAACACCTGCCATTGGTTACAGATGCTGAAAGCTGGTAGCTGGATGGAGAACACTGTCACCAAAAGTTCGGACACCATCCATATCAATATATCATATAAGTATCATAAAAAGTCTCACATAATTGTATATAAGTAACAAACAAGTGCTCAAAATTGTGTACAGTTGTCTTCAAAATTTTCAAGTTTCATCCACTTGTATAAACACAAGCAAGCATAACAAGTTCCATTCAATTGTATCAATAATCATGCAAGTATAATAATGTTCAGACAATTGTATATAAGTACATGTATCATACAAGTATAGCAAGATTCACAAAATCATAACAATGTATCATACATGTATTACAAGTTTTAAATAATTGTATCAATGTATAATGCAAGTATAATAATTTTCATACAATTGTATATAAGTACATGTATCATACAAGTATAGCAAGATTCATAAAATTATATCAATGTATCATACATGTATTACAAGTTTTAAATAATTGTATCAATGTATAATGCAAGTATAATAATTTTCATACAAATATATATAAGTACATGTATCATACAAGTATAGCAAGATTCATAAAATCATAACAATGTATCATACATGTATTACAAGTTTTAAATAATTGTATCAATGTATAATGCAAGTATAATAATTGTCAGACAAATGTATATCAGTACATGTATCATACAAGTATAGCAAGATTCATAAAATTATATCAATGTATCATACATGTATTACAAGTTTTAAATAATTGTATCAATGTATAATGCAAGTATAATAATTTTCATACAAATATATATAAGTACATGTATCATACAAGTATAGCAAGATTCATAAAATCATAACAATGTATCATACATGTATTACAAGTTTTAAATAATTGTATCAATGTATAATGCAAGTATAATAATTTTCATACAATTGTATATAAGTACATGTATCATACAAGTATAGCAAGATTCATAAAATCATAACAATGTATCATACATGTATTACAAGTTTTAAATAACTGTATCAATGTATCATGTAAGTATAACTTTCATACAATTGTATATAAGTACATGTATCATACAAGTATAGCAAGATTCATAAAATTATATCAATGTATCATACATGTATTACAAATTTTAAATAACTGTATCAATGTATCATGTAAGTATAATAATTTTCATACAATTGAAAATAAGTACATGTGTCATCATACAAGTATTAGAACTATCAATCAAGTAGTACTTGTACAATTCAGATGGATAGAATATTCTAGATGAGATATCTCCAGACTATTGATATGCATTGTAATTATATGTTAATGCCTTGACTTTGTGTATTTTACCATAACAAGTCCCTTGTGTTGAATTCTTATGAAAAGTAGAAGAAGTATCATCACAGAAGAGCAGAACTAACACAAACATATAATCTATTAATACGTACTAACATTTAAATCTCTCTGAAAGGTTAAGTCAACATTGGTGTGCCTCAACACAATAGGAAAAAGTAATACATCATAAAATGATTAACAAATTACTACTTTAGGGTTGTAATCATGGTGACTGTATTTAAATGGTGCACAAGAGTAACTTGTCACAAAACACAGTGGAAAGACTAACTGACGACAAGCCTGCTCAAGAAAAATCTATTTTCATAACTCAAACTATGAAAACTGAAATGGGACTTTGCATATTTTTTACAATGGTGGCTTTTGTGACTTTTAGTAAGTAGACTTTTTGAATATTTTCTTTTCACAATCTTTATTGTTCATTTTGTTTATTATGAAATATGTAATCAACAATGACAATAGCCAATATAAATAAATACGCTTTTTTATTGTATATACTTTTATTATACTTTTTATTAATGAGGCCGCATGTTTGGTAAATATGGGAAATTATGAGTTCATGTTTCTGCTTTGATTAACTTATTTGACTTTTTCTATTAATTATAAAATGAGATTTTTACCTTTTTATACATTATAAAAAATAATGTTTCATATCTAGAAAGCAGATACAACATTAAATACAATAAAGCCAAATGGAAAGTTTGAAGCCAAAATAGAAAACTCTTTACATCTCTTTATCTCATTATGCAAAAGAGAAAATCAAATTTACTGTCGCGCAGTCCGTAGTTACTGCTGACGTACAACCAAACAAGATACAAGTTTATATTACCCTTTATCTTCATGAAAAATTAGACATTAAATAGTTTAATAGGTACAATACAATTAATGGACATCGTGCAATGTTTTATTCATTGTATTCTGAGTCAGAGAACAAATGGTACAATTATAACACTTCTGGAGAAAAACAAGTACTTGAAGTGATCATACATCCAAACTTCTACTAAAAATATATGAATTTATTTCATCTTGTTTGTTTAGTAAATTATCTTGTTCATTTTTTGTATTATTGAAATGTTTTTATTGGCATAATCTATTCATGTTACAATGATTTTACAAACATATACCATCCTGTCATGGTATCATAGGAATTAATAATTGATCCAAAAAGTATAAATATTGCTCACACATTTTGGCATAGATAAAGCATTATAGTTAACGAGGCGTATAGCCTTTTTATTTTTTTGTGAAGCCACTCAATAAAATTACAATTTCTCTGCAACCTGATGTCCAAACAAGATCATTCAAGTATCTATGTGTTCCTGACACGTTTGGGTGTCCAGGAATAACAATGTCTACCCAAAGTTTGCACGCAAAATTGACGTAATTCATGACTGAAATAGCGAAGACAAAATTTGAGATTCACAAACAAAATTGCTTGTGAAAACTATTTACAAAAGTGTTCCAGAGACTGTAATCTACTTGGCTAAGGTTTTATTTGAAGATACATTGCCTTATTAAGCAGGTAGAGGGGCATACAGAACACGGAAGCAAGTGCTATGTTGAAAATGTTCTATATTTCAGTTTGAACATGTTATTACATGTCACATAGGCCAGTGTTTGTATTGTCTTATTGGGGCTTTTCGAATTTAGAACGAAACTTACCTAAATGGATTTGTGTCTTGGGAACATTTTTGTAAATAGTTATCATAAACAATTCTGAAAGAATATCACATATTTTTGTCTTCCTGATTTCAGATCAGGAACACATAGATACTCGAATGATGTTGATTGGACATCAGGGTGCAGAGAAAACATAATTTTACTGAGTGGCTTCACGAAAAAAATAGCAAAAAATATTTAATGTAGATGAAACCTCATCAATTTTCATCATTGAAATTTCAAATAACTTTTAAGCAATTCCTTTTAGATGCTGAATATCAACAGAGCTGTCAAGTGTCCCGCGAATGGCGGGATTTTCCCGCGAATTTGATCAAAATTTGGCTAATTCGCGTGTCCCGCAATGTCCCGCGAAGTCCCGCAAATGTCGGCTTTAACCTCCGCGAATTTTCAAAATTGTAACAATCCCCGAGGCTAAATAATTGTGACTATCTTGTGATATAAGAAGCTAAGTTTTTTCGCTTTTGAGGAGTAAAGTTTACCTAATATGAAAAGTGCTGCAAAACTCCTAGTGCGTCGATCATCAAAGACTGCTTTTGGAAAGGGCATACATAAAACTGTGATTTTGATCCAAATAACACCATAGTTGGCTTATCAAGTACCTAGTATGCCGTTATTTGGTATCAAAATAAAGAGGAAGAGAGTGCATTTCCATTTTAATTACGAAAATTGGGATGTTTGTCACGAATAGTTCCAACGTTAGCCTTTTTACTACGCGTGTCACAGCCTTCATCTCAGAATTGAGCAAATGTTAGCAAACGCGAGTTCCAATAAATGAACAATGATATTTCGAAAAGAAACCTGACTCTCTATAATTTGATGTAGATTAATCGAACCCCTATATGAATAGGTACATTTTAATATATAACACTATGGGGGGAGGGGGGGGGGTAAATGTTTCATAGTAGGTCACGAACGCCATAAGTGCAAAGTATTGTTCAGAATTTTTGAATTTCGTGTTGGATTACGTCACACCTAAAGCGTGTTTTTTGATAGTTTAATAATATTTCTATGCGTATTGTGTAGAATTGTGTTGACGTTTATTAAAGTTAAGTGCATTATATTTGATAAATCAGTATCTGAAAGTTGATTTGAGTACTTTTACATTAAGCCCCAATCACGCAAATCCCTTGAATGTCCTGCGGACAATTTAGGTGGATGTCCCGCAAAATCCCGCGAATTTAGGGCACTTTGTCTTAAAAAATCTGTCCCTCTATGAAGTCTTTGGTGGTTACCCTGTTAACTGTTCAGTAATTAGCGTGCTTGTCTTTCGAATGGTCCAGCGAAATCCCGTTAATTTGATCAAAATTTGACCTATTTAGCGCAATCACGCGAATCCCTTAAATGTCCCGCGAAATCCCGCGAATTTAGGTGGATGTCCCGCAAAATCCCGCGAATTTTTGGCACTGGGTCTAAAAAATCTGTCCCGCGAGAAAATCTTTGGGGGTTGACAGTACTGTATCAATATCTAAGCAAAAGTGCCAAAGGAAATGACCATTAAAAGTTGTAATGGAACCTACACCAGTCATAAGAAAAATAAACCCCATAAGAACTGAAACAATGCCTAATATCCCCTTTCCCCCACCATTCAAGAACTAATATCATATTCCAAGACCAGAACACCAAACAACATTTTCAATACCTGATACAAGTCAAAAGACAGAGGATCAAGTCTCAAATGATGTGGGATAAAAAAAATTCAGTCTCAAAGCCCATACAGTTTAGGTGTTTGAAGGGGCCCACATCCACTAACAAAGTCATCACCATAATCCATAAAACACAATAATTCACAATGGTCATCAGGAGAAATCTATGACTGGTTTCGGTAATTATAAATTGTGATCATGCTCTTAAAAGTAAATATCTAATGTCTTTAAATATCTAATATTTTGAGTGTATATGAAATGATTTCACAACACTGACTCTACTGTAGACCAAGTGTTACGTTGTGTGCCAATTGTGTGTGCAGTCAACACTAAATGGCAATTGTAACAAAACTGTACTGAACTAAACAATGGTATATTGATAAACACTTACACATCTCTTCTAATCCGCTAATGTAAACCTAATACTATACATATCATAACACCAATGAACTCACCCTCCCACAAACCCCTGGGGTGTAGCCAATAATTCTCAAGGGGGTGTGATTGTTTGGGTTCACATCACTGCAAAAAGGGGTGTATGGGGGTGTACAGAAATTTTGAAAAAAAATTAAAATTGTATATGGTGCATTTTAAGCATTTGAAACTGTAATTTATTAATGTTTTTTCAACAGATAGCTTTTCTCTTTTTTTGTGCCGGTGGGAAGGGGGTGTTGCAATCATGGTTACGACCATTAACCCACCTACAAATCAATCCATCACCCAATCAACCAACCAATGATATCCAAAATTAATAAATTGATAAAGGAAACAGCATGTAGGTAATGTTTCAAGTAATTAGGGAGATATAGATGACATGTGAATGTCAAAGGAGTTGAAACTGTCAAAATGAATCAAAATTAAAGCACACAAAGTGTTTTAATTACATTTACCATCAAGTTTTAATTTTGTTCTGAGATATATTGTAAGTGCAGTTAATGTTATAATAACTGCTGAGGATAATATAAGGATGAATTAATGGAACTGGGAACAGGAAGCAAAACAATAGCTCCTCGTGGGAACTTCGGCTTGCCCAGATCACTTTATAAAAAAACAAAAATTTAGGTAATTATCTGTACATTGTGCGAACATATTCTGTTATCAATATCAGCTAAAAGTTCAAAATTAACATTGCCATATTATGAAAGGAATCTATGATCACTTTCCCAAATGAGATGACATTATCAAAGTGAAATGGCAATTCAGATAATCATCTGAATTCCCAGAGTTCCATGGAACAACATCAAAGCTGTTCACTCTATTAACTTACAATCATGATACGTGGGGCATCTTGTATGAACAAGTTGATATCCTTATTTAAGAACATTTCAAAAAGACAATTATAAAAGCTGATATAGGAATACATCCTCAGAATTTATAGCTCAAGTGCGAAATTAAGTTCGTTAAAGACTGCAGCTGCTATGTCTAGTTCAACAGATCACTAGGGAATATGTAGTAAATGACCAAATTACTAATATCAACTTGGCAATCATGCATCCCCACTTGATTTGATTTGAGAACTTTATTTATTTAGCAAATAAAGTACAAAAACTGGTCAAATCCAAGGGACCCAATGAGAATTTACAAATGTCAATGATCATTTTTTGTAAGATGACAAAACATATTCTTGAAAGACAAAAATGAAATGAAGGTTAAGTTGATGGTTAAGTTTACTGTATGTCAACTTGTTTTCAGATAAACCTTATTTTTATAACTTCTGTGTATTCTAAGGAACACTGTTAGTCGAGCAATGTGATCTAATTAATTAGAATATCAGAAGAGAGAAATGCTGGACTTTAAAGTGAAGGATTTATATACCTTTGTGGTTTGCTTCTTTACTAGCCTCTGTTCCATATTTTCAAAAGGAAGGAATCTAATTTCATAATATACCTCAATGCTTTTAGTGTCTCATAAACAACAAAAATGGGCAAAGGTGATTCATTAGTCTGTGGTGTACACATTTGAAGATGAAATAGAATCTGAGCCTTATCTACCAACCATTATTTTAATAATCACCTGGACAGATGAAATGGATGGACAATCCTCTTAAATCAAACAAATTAAATTTATCAAAGTACAACCAGTTAAATTTTATTTCAAAAATATGCTTTTGTTCTCAGGTAACCTTGGTGAAACATATTAATGGACAAAGTGTGATTTGTAAAGTATACGCATAAATCTCAAAAATATCTCAACTAAACATAAAGGTACATCCTTTCAGACTCAATTTTAAGATGAAACCTCCAGAGAACAAAGTTATGGTAATATGAACAAAAGGCTAACATATTTATGTCTGTACTTTATCTGTAACTAAATGTTTCTAAAATCTATTGAATGCCCATGCTAAAATTCACATGAATTTATGAGAGGGAATCTTCTCCCCTGTGCTGAGTGTTCTCAACTGTCTTATCATAAAAGTGATAAATAATGATATATGTGAAACAGCGATTTGATTTAAATGAAGAACACAGTCATGGGCAAGTGAGCAACTTAATATATGGAAAAATCCTATAATATGCAAATTAGTACAATTAATACCATAGGTGTATACAAAACAAGTTGACAAAGTACTAAATCATTTATATATGAGCCAGGCCACAGGAAAAGGGGTCTTATCACAGATTTTTTCAATATTCAGATTTTTGGTTTATCTTAAAAAGCACAAAGAAACCTTTCAAATGAGCCATGACTTATGTCCTAACAATTTTTCCTTGCATATATAGACCAAAAAGTTGGATCTGAATTTAGCACATTTTCCTCTTAATCATGGGCACATTTTTGGCTCTGTAGCTAGTGTTGTCGCGATTAATCGATACATCGCGATATACATCGCCAAAGCTGATTCTGGCGATGCATCGATGTCTGAAACAAAACATCGATGTTTTTAAAAAAAATTTCATTTGCTAAAAATCACCCTTTCTTATCTTATTTTGACCCAAATCGCTTACCTTTCTCATGTCTTATTTCATTTTCTGATGTTTTCTGATATTCTTTCGCTTTAAAACTGTTTTAGTTAGTCGAAATGAACCATTAATCTAAAACAATTTACTTTACTTTCATTTCACCCTTACTAGCAGTTCCCGGATGTACTAGCGTACTCTTATTAATTTGTTCTGTTCGGTATTTTAGTGCATTAGCATTCAGTATTTCAGTGCAATTTTCTCAGACTTTTTCTAGATCTACATCGCGATGTGCATCGATGTTTACTACTGAAAATTGCCGATGCATCGATGTACGATTATGGCACATCGCGACATCACTATCTGTAGCACAATTTTAATATTTGTGATAAGACCGGTTTTCCTATGGCCAGGCTCATATCCAAATGTTGCTGACGTCGGCTTTGCAGATTGATGTGGACCATTTGATACGTTTATAGATCTTGAGACTGGATTTTGTCTGTCCCACTTCATTTGGGACTGAATGCCATATCTTGCATAGATACTATTATCTACAACTATTTTTGATGTTATAAGTATTGTTTTATCAATTCATATTTATTCTCCAACATATGTTGTTATGGCTTCTGTATGAATGAAATGCCCCTTGGTGTTATGGTCCTGGATTGTGATAATGGAACTTGAATGGAAGGGGAGGGGAGAATTAGACATTGTTTACCTTCATTTGATTATGGTTTTGGATAGTTAGGGTTGTTTTCCTTATGATTGGTGTACATTTAGATGTTTGTCACTTGTGTGATTCTTATTAATGAATTCTGATTGCTATTTTAGTATTTTTTTTAGTAGGTTCTTCTATTAAACAATAAAAATATTACATACTTTTTTTAGTAGGTTCTTCTACTATTAAACGATAAAAAAGATTACATACTTTTTTGATGAAATACACATATTTTTAGCTCATTTTTTACTGATATAATGATGTCTAATTCAGCTGATTGCAGGCCATACAGATCCTACCCTGTTTTCAAAAGACCATTACGGCAAATAGATTGGGAAAGATCAACAGTACTTGATGAGGCTGAGAATGAAAAAAGGTAAGCACAATGCAACATTCAAAGATTTTCCAGAAGGTGTTTGGATTTTGACACAATGAAATTGGGCTGTCACTAGTAATTCAATTGCCACATCCATGGAGCAAGAGTTGGTCAAACATACCATATTATCTCTAAAAAATACATTGTGTATCCTGAAATTAACATGGAAAATGGAGAAACATTGAGAAATTCTAAAGACGGCACATAAAGAAAATGTTGGAAATAAAAAGCTGATAATAGATGAAAATCGATACCATGTTTTAACTTCTTTTTAGCCATAACCAATATGCTTTATTTCCAAAATAAAGGTCTAGCTCCAAAATAAAAATTCTCAAAGCCCAACTGGAAAAGGAGTAAAAATATTTATGTCAAAATCCCAGTACTAGAATGGAATAACCAATTCAATCTTGAAAGGATTACATAACAGAATATGATAAGAAATCAGGAATATAAATATACTTTTACATTGCAGCCTTTTCAAATTTTAATTTGGTTTATAATAAGGAGGCCCTACACAAGATGGCCTCCAATTTTCTTAAGTTTCCTTATTAAATATTAATAGCATTTTTCTTGAAGGTCTATTTTTGTATCTTTTTTCATATAGGTCTTACTCTCCTTATGTGGACACCTTTGATTTCAAACAACCATATCAACAATCAGAGCGGGACAGATCAACAGCTCTTAATGAACTCGTCAACCAATTAGTAATGGCTATGAAACAAAAAAGGTGAGTACTTAGGATGAGTTAATTAAGTGGATCACTGTTCAAAAATGACCCCAAAAGTATAATATTTGTGATTGAAATCTGGTGATATTTTAGCAGGGGTTTCACTCCTTTCCTTCGATTTTATCCATCTTTCAATCTATTGAAACAGGACCTTTTGAAATGGAATCAAGTATTGCATTAAATGTAGTTATTCTCATGGGCAACATGTGGTGTCATGCTATAGCATTGGAGCCACGATTTGATGAGTAGACATTTAACTTTGTGATATCACAATTTTAAAAATTGAGCTTCATGAATCATACCCAGTATCGGCATTTAATGTATTCTGTTGCACTTTGGTACATAATTATCCTCTTGGTTTAAATGGCAGAAATCTGCAGTTTGTTCCTTTTTGAATCCTCAAAACCAAGCATAAAATAATTATTTATCAGAATTTTAATTAATTTGTATTGCTCGAGAAGATCAATCGAAATTTACATTTCACCTAACTTCTTTTCTTTCTTCCCTATGTGTGGTAGTTCATGATATGCTTTGCACATTTATAACTTTATTTATTTGTTCATTTTTTGGCAAGCAACATGCTCTCATATTATGAATTTGAATAAAGCTTATCTGATTATACTTGTTACAACCTTACAAAGTGTGATGAGTGGCTTGCATATATTGCCCTTTAATAGCAAAGAACAGAGGGGGTTAAATATGGAAAACATTGGCATATTGTGGTTATTGTTAGCGTAATGATTCTTGATAGCAAGTCGCCACTACAGTCTATGCTGTAGTGGATCACTCTTATGGCTGAATTGGTAGAGCGTCATACTTGTGAGCGAAGGGTCCTGGGTTCAATTCCCGTCTGAGGCATTGAATTTAGCACACTCCCTTTCTCACTAGTGTCTGGCTCGTTACACTACAGCTCCCTGGACAGACATGCTCTCAGGTTGTTACACTAGAATTTATTATATGAAATATGAGCTGAATTGAGAGTCATCAAAAACATGAATTTTAAATCTCATGGTGATAACATATCATGGCCACATAACTGTGAAATCATGGTTTAATCAATCATAAAGCTTTCTTTTTGCTTGCAATGTTATGTTGAAACATATGCTTATCGTACTTTTTAATGTATGCGTAAAATTGTATGTTTGTTTATTTGTGTTCTCATTCATTTGTTTGTTTCTTGGATCTTCTGCTGTTTGTGACGTATTCTAAATCATTATGCAATAGACTTATTTAAGCGTAACAATAAAAAACCACATGAGGCATTTGTTTGCATCCCACAAACTTTATATCAGGAGCACTGTTTGGAATACATATGGAACAAGGTTCAAAATGTATAAAAGTAAATGAAATCAAATAGGTTGATTTAACGCACAGAAAAATAAAATGTGGGCCTTCCCTGAATATTTGGGCTCATTTTTAGTTCAGTTTCAATGATGATACACTCTTTTTCAGAAGTTTTTAGCAAACATGAGTTGAAAATGATAAAAATACTTCATTTTGACAATGGTAAATTGGGATCAAAATGTTGAATGCATGTATACTATCGCTTAACTCTCTGGACTTCCTCATATTTCATAACTTTCAGAGATGCCAGCTGCATTGAGTGTTCTGGTATAGCATGCTCAAGCTACTGTCTTACCACTCTCAAACGTCGAACTGCTCTTCCACTAAAGAGGCCTGCTTCTCCTGCAGTAAATAGGCAAACTGCTCTTCAAGTAGCTAGACGTAGTCCTGGTTGCGCAGGATGTTCTGGACTCGGATGTCCAACTTCTTGCTAAGGTGGGTCTTTATATCAGGTAACCCTGAGGGATATATTTATATATTCCAAGGGAGTAAATGTACATAAATACATTTATCCTATGCTAAGTAAAATTTTATATCCCATATCCTGAGTTTGAGGTTTCCATATCCAGAACCTCCATATCTCCCGCTCCAGGGCATATCTTCCCGCTTTGAAAAAAATGTTGAACTTTTTTTGAATCCACTGGGTATAGGATAAAGCATTTATGTATGGTCGGTCTGAATATGGGGTTTATTTGAGATATGCACATCTACCTTTGATCCATACGGTCCCTCAGATAGATATGCATATATCCCTCTGGATAAACCCAATATCCAAAACCTCCCAATACATAACCCTTTTTTGCAGGATGCTTACATTTTTATCTAAACGTAATCCTGGTTGTGCTTGGTGTTCTGGACTCAGCTGCTCATATTTTTGCTACAAGTAAGGTGGGTCCACATACAGTATCAGGTTCTCCAAAGGAATATATTTATTTATCCCATGGTTGCAAGGATATAGATCGAATATCACATGAAGATATATTTGATATGTGGATCAAGATATCATATTTTAGCAAAAAATTCACAAACCATCGAATATCACTTTTAAACTATCGAATATCACGTCTTAAAAAGTGACATTCAATGGTTAGAAAAGTGATATTCGATGGTTTCGAATTTTTTCAAAAAAAATTTCTTTTTTACATTTTTTAATTATTTTCAAAAATATCTTTAAAAAATTTCAAAATTTCAAAAAAAATGTAACATTTTTTCACAATTCTTTTTAATTATTTTTTCAAATTTTTTCTCAAATTATACAGAAGCTAAGATTACTAATACATTTCATCAAGGGTAATGTTATAAATCACATTCTTTAATACTTATTTATTTTCAGTGTTCAATCAAATAAAACCCTTTAATGCATTATAACATTTATTGGCATCAAGTTATTGTCAATGTGTTTTAAAGCATGCTCATTTATCAATGCAAAATAGGCTAAATCATTACTATAATATAAAATGCACATCTCATAATAAGCTACATCTGGTAAAGTATAATCATTGCATGTTTTTAATCCTCTGATGTCTTTTAGCTTTGAAGATTAATCTGCCACTATATTTGTCACATACAAATTTGCCTAAATCATTTGGTAATAAATTTGTACTTGTTTCTCATGTAAATGTGTTGGAAACTTATTCGAAATGTGCACACTTTTCCAATGGACTCATTGAAGTTAGTTAACACATGGGCTCTATCAGATGGGTATGCAACGAGCCATTGAAATACAGACATACTTCAAACAATATGAAAAGTAATAGAATCAGGTTTAACAAGTGTTTTTGAGAGGATGTAATATTTACATGTGTATGACCTTTTGACCTTGTTTATCTGGCCATTTGAATTTAAATGTATTTGACTGAGAATTCAACGAAGACAATTCAAGTTTAGGCTGTGTTGTGATTTTAAAAAAATGCTGTCGCCTAACTATGATATTGGTGTTTTCAGAGGCAATGATTGCGTTACCTGTGCAGGATGGCAATGCAGTATCTTATGTGGGAGATGATAGGACAACTTATTAACACAGACTGACACTTTTGCAAATATGCCAACATTGATTTTGAATGGAAGACATTTCATAGTGATGACTTTCCCAAATAGAAAAAACAGAATATCATATAATAAAAATAAACAATGTAATATTTGAGCCTGTATATTGTAAAAATGAGATATTAAACCCATATGATAAAATATCATTTTGTTGATTGGGTGGGAGATCAACAAAAGGAAATATTTTATAGTTGTTAACTGAATTTAACAGTCTTGCCAAATGTATGGGATTACTTGGTACTGGGGCTAGTTCACCTGGACTTAAATAATCAATTCACACATTCACAATTCAAAATCTCCACCAGGGGAGATCTTAATCAAAGATGGCTGACCTACAAAAATATGAATCATCGCCCATGGTCGAAATAAATGCTTTGAAATTTATTTAAAGAAGTGTAAATAGTACATAATTAAAATGTCTTTAGAATTCTGCAGTAAATGTAGTCCTCTGTTCTGAATACTCTGTTTGATTTCATGCACAAAAACTATCACATCTGGCATAGCACCATTTATAAAACTATCTTGTTCATCAATTTTGTATGGGTACAAATGTCAAGGAAATGCTTCTGATATACTATGTGTGCAAAGTTTCTTTAATGTACTAAAATGAATAATTTGTGTAAATATACATTGTGAAAAAACAAAATAATCTACATCTTTCTTTTTTCACTAAATAGGGTAAAAATCTTGGCCAACCTATTCAAACTAGAAATCAACAACTCCACAAAGTAGCAAATCCTGCATTCAAGTATGAAGATTTCTCCGATTACTGCAAATTCCAACATTGAATGGCAATTTTGGATTTTCTAAGGCTTGAATCTAAAATATGATACAATATTTGGATCTGCTACAGGGTGGGCCAAATAATCCATTTTTCGAGTTATAGCATTTTTGAAAACTACATATATTTTAACAACATTTATGATAGAGATATAGGAATCACTTTTGCAATTATTCATAAAATGGGATAAATAAATCTTAATAGGTTTCTGAATAAAAGATTTAAGCACAAGACTCAATGCATTGTTTGCTGAATCATACCATGAAGGTGTTGTTTCAAGACCTTCCAAACCTCTTGGGCTTAAATTCTTTTCAGACATTGCAAATTTTTTTCTACAAAATAATCTACAGGAGAGAAATCACTAAAAGAACACATTTCCAATGCCATTTTTTGCAAGGGTCAAGTTGGCAAGTCATCAAATCCAATGTGAAAAATACATTCATCACCATGGCAAATGTCTAACTAGTGACCTTGCATGTGTTATTGATATTCCACACACTGTTTATTATGTGAATACTCTGTTCAGATTGGCTGGAATCGGGCACACATTGCCTATAGCTATGTGTGAATAATTAATAAATGCAAGTGGTCTATATATGAAAATATACAATTCAAAGGATAATATTCATGGCTCAAACAATAGCACCAGACCGACATATTATTCAGCCTGGGAGTCTAATAGGACAGCATGTTCGGTATATACTGAAATTATTTCAAAAAGAAATAATCAAAAAACGGCATCAAAAAAAGGTGATTGTGAAAATCTGCCTTCTTTCACAGAGAGAACTATTCCAAGTACGTATACTATCTGTGAAGATATATCAGTTTGGTTAGTGTACAGACTGTAAAACTTGCTCTTTCAATGTTCTTTAGGACTCAGTTAAACATTTTGGCAATCTACCAGATATGACCAACAAGAATAGCACATCTGATTCACTCATGTTTCACTCAGAATTTATACTAATTAATCATACTAATTAAATTTTTCTTTATATTGAACCAGCCTATCTAATCTTCCCTATTTTTGGTCTCAATGCCATTTCAATAATAATGTACCCTGTACATGTTTTGCAGGTTTGAAGACAAGCAACAAGATTTAACCAAGAAGGAAATCCAGAGCTACAATGGACAAAACAGCTGTGTAACCTGTCATGCATGGCAATGTTCTATTTTTTGTTGAGAATAACTGGCGAAGAATTAACAAAACAGTATATCCAGTTTAATGTTAAAGTATGTATCATTACACTGCAGCGCTATTGACTCAGTAAAACAACTATTAAATCAATCTCCAGTGCCATTATATCTGGCTAAAATGTTAAACAAATGTTACATAGTTAGAAAACACTTGCAATTGTGCTAGAATAACACATAAAGTGGAATGAAAACATTTCATTTTGTTAAGTTTTCCCAATGGTGATTTAAAAGAAATCAAGCTTCGATGTGGTGCCGCTCAAAAGAATAATTAGCATTATACATTGTATTAATTCGCATTCTCATTAACAGTATTCACAAAACTAATTATTTCTAGTGTAAGAGAAGGCACCTTCAAAAAAGTTAGTGTTTACGGAACAGTTATAGAGCTAGCAATAATTCAAAACTAATCATCATTATCATTAACAACAGCATTTTACAGTCCAAATACTGTAACATACAGGGTGACCCATAAGAAATAATAATTTTTGTAAAATACTGTAACATACTTATGTGAAACCTGTTTAAGTGGAACGGCTTTCATTTGGAGGTGTTTCACACACAGAGGTTCATTTTACATTAATACAATGGATAACTGGAGTGATCTATGAGATTTCAAAATTGTATGGAATGAAAAATCTCCTCGAAACTATACATAGAGATCTGTGAGATTTACAAATATTAAATGAGATCCCTGAGATCTCAGTCTCATGTCATGTTATGTAATTCAGCTAATTAAATCTTTTTTTTTAAATTAAATCTTTGAAATTGTGTTTACCTGCTGGGCAAGAACTCTCAATCTTTCACACTCCATCCCTGAGCAGTCTTTCCTGACAGCGACCTTGACCTAGAACAGATAACATACCTCATTAAATTGTTAACTCTCTGTTCGCTGCCCATTGATAATAACCTTCATTTTCAGAAATATTAAATTTCTGTAAAAATGATACCATATTTGACTTCTACATAAAAAATTACTGCAACAAATGACTTTGAAATTTTAATTTTATTTGAAAATATGATTCCATTTTGTAAAATCATGAAAAGTAAAATAAACCTCTTCTTGTCTTGAACAGATAACAATTTTGAACACTTTAAGTGCCAATTAATTGTCAAAAAAGTTACATTAAAAATTGATTCACTAAATCTGTTTATCATTTAAGTTTAGGGGAACAATTTATTTGTCTGCCATGTTATCTGACCGAAATTAGCCTGCTGGTAGTAAAATTACCTACTGATATCTAGTATAGGTAATTGTGTGTTTTATAATAAAGCTAACCTGACCGATGTCTCCATAGAAGTTGTCAGAATTAGCGTGGAAAAGCGTCATGATTTGATTGACACTGTACAGAGAGACATCTATAGCTTTTTGCAAAGCTTCTGCTGTCAAGTACCACATTTGTTCAGACAATATCGGCCCTGAACTCAAGATAGCATGTCTGGAATAGAAGAATGAGATGAGCAAGGTTGCAAGGTCAATCAAAGAATAATTTTGCTTTACTAATATTATTGTACCTTTTAAGAATGCAATTATGAAATCTTGAAAATAAGAGTCATTCAATAAATATTAATAAATACAAATTCTCTAACATCATGTTAATATTATAATACAAAAGTATTAAACAAGGCATCAACATGACAAAATGTCACCACCTAGTTGCTCACAATATTATGAGTTCAATCTTAAGTCAGATTTGAATTTTTGAGAAGTCTTTGAGAAGATCATCGAAGGTGAAATCTCAAATCTAAAGTCACATGTGAACTTCTGAGAACTTGTAGATGATTTTGAAAAGAAAATTGGTCAATTTGAATCAAGTTGAATAAAAGGCAAGACCTTGGGAATGTCATTGAAGCTCAAATCTTAAGTCAAACTCAGATGTGAACTTCTGAGAACTTGTAGATGATTTTGAGTTGAAGTTGAAAAAAGAACTTTTTGGACCTTGGAAGGGTCACTGGAGATCAAATCTTAAATATGAAGTCAGATTTGATTAATTGAACTTCTGAAAACTTGTAGATGATTTTGAAAAAACTGAAGTCAGTCTGAACAGTATTTGTCAAGTTATTGGAAGTTGTAAGAATTTGTTACAGACACCTATCGGCGATCAACTGCCAACCACCAACCACCGCCGTCAAAAAAACGGAGACCATAAGATACCACTTTTTGGTGGTGGCATAATAAACGGAGACCATAAGATACCACTTTTTGGTGGTGGCATAATAAACCACTTTCATAGCTCAGAATTGCAATCATTTTAAATTTACATAATTGTTTGTAACCATACTTTAAATGTCTCACTTCGTTGAATGAATTTAGTTGACAGAAATCAAACATATACTTTGTTGTTTGTAACCATACTTTAAATGGCTCACTTCGTTGAATGAATTTAGTTGACAGCAATCACACATATACTTTGTAAGCTTACTGACCGCAACTCCTATAGCACATTTTAACCATGAGTTTCTCTTGAAAGCACACGATTTTAACCCATTGTCATTTGACACAAAACATACCGTATACAGGAGCACCCTAATCTGGATATGGTTTCTATTGGTTGAGCAATACATTCTATAAGTACACTGTAGAGGTTTTGTAGCATGTCTCCCATGCTAGTCTCGCAACTAGTGGTCCCTGGAAACCGCAGAAGTTTAATAAAACAGTATCCTTGGCATTTTTATGCGCACGACATTATAGTTATGATTCAATATTTTGTTGGCATGACTTAATTTCTAAGCACACAAGAGGAAATGTAAAGAAGGTTGTCATTGAAATACTTTGGAAAAGATTGGTAAAATTCAATATTTTATTTCTATATGGCCATAATCACATGTAGATCATGACAAATGAAATTCAGAAATCCCAACCAATATGATAGAACCCAGGTAAGATATCTATATTTCCCTCAGGATATATCCAATATCCATAATAACCTCCCATGAAATAACCCAAATTTATCTGTCTAGTTTAACCATGATACTGCTCTCCACATTAAAGTTATTTGTTTTTTTCTTGAAGTAATATTTCCATTTTGATAACTACATATTGAAAAGATGTCACTGTGTTTAGTAAGTAAACTAATGAAGAAAAGCAAAGTAATAGATGAACACCAGTTCTATTCTGATCCTTTCATACATATAGCTATACTTTTAATTTACCTGTAAACTGGACAACATATTCCACGACTAGATCAGTACACATTCCACAGCATTGTTTGAAGTTATTGGCCATACTATCCCAGTAGCCCTTAATGGTGTTGCCATAGCGTAACCATGACTGCAGCATGGGAAGTAGCAGGTGATTGGCACAATGGATACTGAAGTCTGGACCTGTAAATATCATCAAATTCAAATATTTTCACATTTACATACATAGACATCACTTTCCTTCTTTCTTTCTCTTTAATTGATTTATTATATGAAAAATTAACGTCAGTAGGATTATTTAATTCATGTGAGCCATCTTTAAATATTAAGATAAACATTTTTGACAAAATGGGTATAAACATTCAATAGGATGTTAAGCCAAATTATGCATTGCACTAATCCCTAATGCCTCAGCCACATTTGATCAACGGCAACCATGCGGCAGCAGTAGCTTCCCAAATTCAAGAGAAACATTCAGCATAGAATATAGGGATAAGCAATACGATGCCGATTTTCTATAGTGATTTTCGAGGCTTAACTTAGTAATGAAATAGAATAAAATTAAACAACTCAAACCTGGTGTGGTAGCCGCAGCTCTTAACATACTAAACAGCATCTCTAAGGTCTGTGGCTGATAATGTCTAGGAGCATTGGCCACAGTGTTAGTCAAACCATCCAGTATCAAGTACCAAACATGTAAACTCCCAGTATGGTTATCTAAATCCCCCAATGTAATAGTCTTCTTTGTGTCAAGCCTTGGTGATGACATTTCTGATTTATCAGCTGTATGGTTTGGCTCATGTTTAGTATCGGGAGATTCGTTGTTCGTTGTATATTTGGTGAAACCTTGACCAGATGTCATTTTTGAGGCAATAGACTGGGCCACTGGATGTTTCTGACTTGGGGTTGGATTCAATTTTTGCTCAAAATTCTGTTTGAATTTATCTAAATCTGTGTTAGGTTGGAATGGGTCAGCAAATCTAGGAGGTGCTGTATATTCCCGCTTGAATTCATCCAAGTCCATATATGGTAATACTGAATCTACGCAGTTCAACTGGGTAAGACTGGCTCTGATTCTGTAAATAGATACATGAATATAGGCAGTGATAAACAAGGCATTAACATTAAATTTGTTACAGACACCGAGCACCAACCACTGAATGCCAACCATCGAACACTGTCCACAAAAAAATACAGCTAAACATTACACATACAGTCAAGTCTATCTAATCCGAATGCCATTTAGACTGGCCGAAAAAAATTCATACTTAAATGTGTTTGGGAGATGATAGGAATTAGAGAGATGTTCACATATACATGTACAGGTTTAATATATACCTGTTTGCCCCATTGAAGACAGGACAGGCTGGCATATTCCACATGGAGGCTAGGATGGTGCAGCATTGCTCCAAGTACTTCAAGGCAGGAAGACAAAGGGCCTCTGATGTGACAGTCTCACCACATTCACTACCAGAATCTGAGTCAGAGTCACTCACTTCAAACTCAGCTGGAAATATGCATGTGTAAATGAAAATATAACACTTATTACACTATTGATATTTTAACATTTTAAAAGTCCTCTTCTTCGCTGATGTTGGGAAACATTTCCTAAAATCTGTGCAAGGAATTAAGAGCCATGGTACTGAATCAAATTTATGATATATATCATGTCATATGAGATGTACATATTACTATGACTTACATTGGCCCTTGACATACTTCAAGAGGCATAGAATACAATCTACTGCAGCATGTGCGAATACAAAGACATTGTCAGTGTTGAGGAAGACATCAAACACATCCAAGACTGCAGCAATATGTCTCTGCCTGGCATCATTCACTTCCTCATTAGTTGTGTATTCTATCTTGACTGCCCGTAATGCCCCAAATAGAGGGCGCCATCCAGATCTGATTTCTGTTGTACAGGCCTCAACGAGTTCACAAATAGAACAAACAATCTGAAAAATCAAATTTACAAAATACATGCAAATATGTTTATCTTAATAAGTTGACTCACTGGATGAGTTACTAAGCCATTCTTGAATGTCTTGCTCATAAACCACTAAAACATGTACTCAGGAAAGGGTTTGGGCTTTTCTAAAAATATGTTTCCTCATTAAAGGTACTTTAGTTTGTGTGTTTTTAATATCAAGAAATACATTCTTAATTAATAGACCTTGTGGTTAAAATTACATACATTTAATAACAAAACTCAGCACATTAAGCTGATTTGATACTTCATATAATGTTGCAATTTCATCTCTTTTACAATTATCAAAGAATCCAATATCAATAGTTCTGGTTCAAGTGGGACCTTTCACAATGGTTTACCCTATAATAGGCCCATTATTTATGGAAAAACATAAATTATAAATATTTCTTTTAGATAATTAAGAAACCTTAGTAATGGATTTATCAATATTATAAAAGAAGTACGGGTACATTGTATACTATAGCCCAAAGGCTAGAAAAATGCTTAGATACATAAAAAGAGATAATAAGATAATGGACTTTTTTCTTTTCAATGCTGGAAACAATCAGGGAAATTTTCATCATTTGTCAAATAATGAACATAGTTTTGTAATAGTATGCCCCCCTTCTGTCTATAGTGTCTGAGCTTATTTAGTCCCAGGTTATTTGACTGGTGTATTTGCAAAAACAATTGCAATCCAATCTCATAACCCAACATTTTATATTGTGGTTTGGACAGGGATTTATTGATCCACCTCGCAAATAACTAAATTCACAGTAGAATTACATGTGTTAGTAATTATTTAACATCAATAACAACATTGTAACTAACAATATAACAATGGACTTCATTACTACGACAGTCTTATTAAAGAAACTGGATAATTTGGAAAAAGCAAATGAAACAGAAGTGAATTTCAATTTACCATTAATTTCAAAGGCCTGGCCCTATAATAGTATAACTTTTAAAGATAGCCCTTGGAAATGGAACTTTGCAAATTGCAAGTTAAACCAAAATTTTGAAGGACAGCCCTTTTGAATAGAACTCCAGGAATTGCAATACATACCATAATTTTAAATGATAGCCCTTGAAAATGGACAACTAATGCTATCCCTTCTTTTATTTCTGATGTTCTTTCTGTATACTGTACCTGATCTTGTGTGTCCCCATCACAGAGCTCAAGACATAGTAGTTTCTCAAATGGTTTGCACAAAGACTCGTTGAAGTTAAAATGTGGTAGCTCCTGGTGGTACCCGAACAATGTGGTAATACATTCATGTATGCACGCAACAGCCTTATGGGAGATGTTACTGTCTTTGTGAGTGGATGCCTTAAAATACACAAAAATAAATGGTTAGTTGATATAGTATACAGTAGGTCATATATACAGATACTGTACTTGTCCAAAAAACATGTAGTGTGGATATATTGTATACATGTTGCAGGAAGTTTTATTTTCATTTTTAATATATTCAACGATGTGAAATTTCTAATAATCTTATTTAGTATGTTTAATTTTTAATTTGTCCATGTGATATCAACATAACCTGTATTCCAAGATATTGCCTCCAGAGTAAAAATTTAGAAAAAACTCTATTATTACTTTGTCTATTTGTCGACCATACAAGGTAATGATAGAGTCTTTTCGTCTTATGTACGATGCAATGATGAAGTCTATATGTCGACCATACAAGGTAATGATAGAGTCTTTTCGTCTTATGTACGATGCAATGATGAAGTCTATATGTCGACCATACAAGGTAATGATAGAGTCTTTTCGTCTTATGTACAATGCAATGATGAAGTCTATTTGTCGACCATACAAGGTAATGATAGAGTCTTTTCGTCTTATGTACGATGCAATGATGAAGTCTATATGTCGACCATACAAGGTAATGATAGAGTCTTTTCGTCTTATGTACGATGCAATGATGAAGTCTATATGTCGACCATACAAGGTAATGATAGAGTCTTTTCGTCTTATGTACAATGCAATGATGAAGTCTATTTGTCGACCATACAAGGTAATGATAGAGTCTTTTCGTCTTATGTACAATGCAATGATGAAGTCTATATGTCGACCATACAAGGTAATGATAGAGTCTTTTCATCTTATGTACGATGCAATGATGAAGTCTATATGTCGACCATACAAGGAAATGATAGAGTCTTTTCATCTTATGTACGATGCAATGATGAAGTCTATATGTCGACCATACAAGGTAATAATAGAGTCTTTTCATCTTATGTACGATGCAATGATGAAGTCTATATGTCGACCATACAAGGTAATGATAGAGTCTTTTCGTCTTATGTACAATGCAATGATGAAGTCTATATGTCGACCATACAAGGTAATGATAGAGTCTTTTCGTCTTATGTAGAATGCAATGATGAAGTCTATTTGTCGACCATACAAGGTAATAATAGAGTCTTTTTGTCTTATGTACAATGCAATGATGAAGTCTATTTGTCGACCATACAAGGTAATGATAGAGTCTTTTCGTCTTATGTACAATGCAATGATGAAGTCTATATGTCGACCATACAAGGTAATGATAGAGTCTTTTCGTCTTATGTACAATGCAATGATGAAGTCTATTTGTCGACCATACAAGGTAATAATAGAGTCTTTTCGTCTTATGTACAATGCAATGATGAAGTCTATTTGTCGACCATACAAGGTAATGATAGAGTTATTTCGTCTTATGTACAATGCAATGATGAAGTCTATATGTCGACCATACAAGGTAATGATAGAGTCTTTTCGTCTTATGTACGATGCAATGATGAAGTCTATATGTCGACCATACAAGGTAATAATAGAGTCTTTTCATCTTATGTACGATGCAATGATGAAGTCTATATGTCGACCATACAAGGTAATGATAGAGTCTTTTCGTCTTATGTACGATGCAATGATGAAGTCTATTTGTCGACCATACAAGGTAATGATAGAGTCTTTTCGTCTTATGTACAATGCAATGATGAAGTCTATATGTCGACCATACAAGGTAATGATAGAGTCTTTTTGTCTTATGTACAATGCAATGATGAAGTCTATTTGTCGACCATACAAGGTAATGATAGAGTCTTTTCGTCTTATGTACGATGCAATGATGAAGTCTATATGTCGACCATACAAGGTAATGATAGAGTCTTTTCGTCTTATGTACGATGCAATGATGAAGTCTATATGTCGACCATACAAGGTAATGATAGAGTCTTTTCGTCTTATGTACGATGCAATGATGAAGTCTATATGTCGACCATACAAGGTAATAATAGAGTCTTTTCGTCTTATGTACGATGCAATGATGAAGTCTATATGTCGACCATACAAGGTAATAATAGAGTCTTTTCGTCTTATGTACGATGCAATGATGAAGTCTATATGTCGACCATACAAGGTAATGATAGAGTCTTTTCGTCTTATGTACGATGCAATGATGAAGTCTATTTGTCGACCATACAAGGTAATGATAGAGTCTTTTCGTCTTATGTACAATGCAATGATGAAGTCTATATGTCGACCATACAAGGTAATAATAGAGTCTTTTCGTCTTATGTACGATGCAATGATGAAGTCTATATGTCGACCATACAAGGTAATGATAGAGTCTTTTCGTCTTATGTACGATGCAATGATGAAGTCTATATGTCGACCATACAAGGTAATAATAGAGTCTTTTCGTCTTATGTACGATGCAATGATGAAGTCTATATGTCGACCATACAAGGTAATGATAGAGTCTTTTCGTCTTATGTACAATGCAATGATGAAGTCTATTTGTCGACCATACAAGGTAATGATAGAGTCTTTTCGTCTTATGAACAATGCAATGATGAAGTCTATTTGTCGACCATACAAGGTAATGATAGAGTCTTTTCGTCTTATGTACGATCCAATGATGAAGTCTATATGTCGACCATACAAGGTAATGATAGAGTCTTTTCGTCTTATGTACGATGCAATGATGAAGTCTATATGTAGACCATACAAGGTAATGATAGAGTCTTTTCGTCTTATGTACGATGCAATGATGAAGTCTATATGTCGACCATACAAGGTAATAATAGAGTCTTTTCGTCTTATGTACGATGCAATGATGAAGTCTATTTGTCGACCATACAAGGTAATAATAGAGTATTTTCGTCTTATGTACAATGCAATGATGAAGTCTATATGTCGACCATACAAGGTAATGATAGAGTCTTTTCGTCTTATGTACAATGCAATGATGAAGTCTATATGTCGACCATACAAGGTAATGATAGAGTCTTTTCTTCTTATGTACAATGCAATGATGAAGTCTATTTGTCGACCATACAAGGTAATAATAGAGTCTTTTCGTCTTATGTACAATGCAATGATGAAGTCTATATGTCGACCATACAAGGTAATGATAGAGTCTTTTCGTCTTATGTACAATGCAATGATGAAGTCTATATGTCGACCATACAAGGTAATAATAGAGTCTTTTCGTCTTATGTACGATGCAATGATGAAGTCTATATGTCGACCATACAAGGTAATAATAGAGTCTTTTCGTCTTATGTACGATGCAATGATGAAGTCTATATGTCGACCATACATGGTAATGATAGAGTCTTTTCGTCTTATGTACAATGCAATGATGAAGTCTATATGTCGACCATACAAGGTAACGATAGAGTCTTTTCGTCTTATGTACGACGCAATGATGAAGTCTATATGTCGACCATACAAGGTAATGATAGAGTCTTTTCATCTTATGTATGATACAATGATGAAGTCTATATGTCGACCATACAAGGTAATGATAGAGTCTTTTCGTCTTATGTACGATGCAATGATGAAGTCTATTTGTCGACCATACAAGGTAATGATAGAGTCTTTTCGTCTTATGTACGATGCAATGATGAAGTCTATATGTCGACCATACAAGGTAATGATAGAGTCTTTTCGTCTTATGTACAATGCAATGATGAAGTCTATATGTCGACCATACAAGGTAATAATAGAGTTTTTTCGTCTTATGTACGATGCAATGATGAAGTCTATATGTCGACCATACAAGGTAATGATAGAGTCTTTTCGTCTTATGTACGATGCAATGATGAAGTCTATTTGTCGACCATACAAGGTAATGATAGAGTCTTTTCGTCTTATGTACAATGCAATGATGAAGTCTATATGTCGACCATACAAGGTAATGATAGAGTCTTTTCGTCTTATGTACAATGCAATGATGAAGTCTATTTGTCGACCATACAAGGTAATAATAGAGTCTTTTCGTCTTATGTACAATGCAATGATGAAGTCTATTTGTCGACCATACAAGGTAATGATAGAGTTATTTCGTCTTATGTACAATGCAATGATGAAGTCTATATGTCGACCATACAAGGTAATGATAGAGTCTTTTCGTCTTATGTACGATGCAATGATGAAGTCTATATGTCGACCATACAAGGTAATAATAGAGTCTTTTCATCTTATGTACGATGCAATGATGAAGTCTATATGTCGACCATACAAGGTAATGATAGAGTCTTTTCGTCTTATGTACGATGCAATGATGAAGTCTATTTGTCGACCATACAAGGTAATGATAGAGTCTTTTCGTCTTATGTACAATGCAATGATGAAGTCTATATGTCGACCATACAAGGTAATGATAGAGTCTTTTTGTCTTATGTACAATGCAATGATGAAGTCTATTTGTCGACCATACAAGGTAATGATAGAGTCTTTTCGTCTTATGTACGATGCAATGATGAAGTCTATATGTCGACCATACAAGGTAATGATAGAGTCTTTTCGTCTTATGTACGATGCAATGATGAAGTCTATATGTCGACCATACAAGGTAATGATAGAGTCTTTTCGTCTTATGTACGATGCAATGATGAAGTCTATATGTCGACCATACAAGGTAATAATAGAGTCTTTTCGTCTTATGTACGATGCAATGATGAAGTCTATATGTCGACCATACAAGGTAATAATAGAGTCTTTTCGTCTTATGTACGATGCAATGATGAAGTCTATATGTCGACCATACAAGGTAATGATAGAGTCTTTTCGTCTTATGTACGATGCAATGATGAAGTCTATTTGTCGACCATACAAGGTAATGATAGAGTCTTTTCGTCTTATGTACAATGCAATGATGAAGTCTATATGTCGACCATACAAGGTAATAATAGAGTCTTTTCGTCTTATGTACGATGCAATGATGAAGTCTATATGTCGACCATACAAGGTAATGATAGAGTCTTTTCGTCTTATGTACGATGCAATGATGAAGTCTATATGTCGACCATACAAGGTAATAATAGAGTCTT